GAATATTTCAAATCATTCAGAGATCCCCTCTAAAAACTACAATTTATGCTTTTTTGACTCTTTTAGCCTTAATTTATCACATTTTAATCAAAATTTTGATATGTTAAAGCGACTTTTAACTCATTTTTAACTAAATGATATTGTATTTATTTAGTCTAAGTCTGTTTTTTATGGTACTAATATAATACTAACCTTCCACCTCTCATCATAATGTTAGATAATTTTCAAAACAAAATGAGTTATAATGGGAAATATACGATGATAGTTCAGTATGTAACGTGCACATAAATGTTGGATCTTGCAAAGAAACCTAATCAACACATGGGAGACATAAATATATAGATAAACGAGATGCGCTGTATCAGCAATGAGTATTAAAGGTTGATGGGGATCTGCAGTGAAGAACGTTGCTTCAATATGTATAATGCTCCTGAAATTATATATATATAAATATTTTAACAATCATAAATATATATTAAAATATATCCCATTCCCATTCTCCATACCTATAATTATAATATATATAAAATAATCCTACAAATATAAAATTAAATATATAAGTTATATAAACGAACACAACAAACTTAACAAGCAAATAGACACTTATTCAGCAAAAAAAACAGAGCTATTTGACAATAGCAAACTAATGGTGAGAGATGTGTCTCAGAGAACAGCCTGTTCTCAATTACAGCGAGAACTTAGAGTTAAGCGTAAATCTCATCGCGCTGTATAGAGTCTGTAGTTACAAATAGAGCTTCTCTGACAAATAGAAACTTCTGCGTGATATCTAAACCTTTGCGTGATAATGGTGATCTTAGTTAGGTGATCATATAAAATTTCACCTTTATGATTCATTGAAAACCTTGTAATTGGAGTCTTATAGAAGTCGAATCATAATAAATACACACTCAGAACAAACCGTTCTTAGAGAAGTTCTCCCAAAGGTCCATACAAAAAGTCCTCAAAACAGGTGGTGGCAGTGTAGCTCTTCAGAGAACCATATACTTCAACGAAGAAGTTTGAAATCGGTGAGAGAACAAACCTTTGCTCAATTATGTTTGTGCAGTGCTTTCTGCTCCTTGATCAGCCGTACGCGGACTATATCCTCACGTATCGGATTTCAGGCCGATTAATCTCTTCATGTAAATTTTATATGAAAGGAAATTACAACAATAGTTAAAATTCGTGGATTCTTTGATTACATATTCAAGTTGACCGGGTTCCTTACCCCCAACTCTCCCATACTTCCAATCCATTTTGTCCATGTATACAAGAGACTAATCAATAATAAGTAACACAATTGGTGGATGGAATATTTTAGTGTATATAGTAGACTAACCAATAAGCTAGCTTCCGGTACACATGTTTGAAAAATTAATAATAGAAAATATTGCTAAATGTTAAAGTTGGGATGCAAAATACAATTTTCTATGTGGAATCAATTTAGAATTAAAGTAATAAACTTTATGCATTTGGGAAAAAATAAAACTAGTAAATGTTATTTTTCTTAGCAGTACCTATTAAATTAAATTGATGAGGTCCAGTAATGCTCTATAGCAACAAAAATCAATGTGGTTGTTGTGTACCTAATGGGTGATGATACATAGTTGTGTTTCTTATGAAACATACAATTGCAGGGAGAAGCTAATCGAAAAAAAGCATTCAAACCTCATATCCATAAAGATAACCCAAAGCATCATGATTCATGAACTTTCAAAGGGTATTACCTAGATTTTCACATGTTACTTAATCAGTAGCAACAGTTTAATAACATCAAAGACAATTCTACATTATTCGTTCACATTGCAACTACTATAAAATTCACCAAAGCCCCATAAAAAAAAAAAGAAAAAAAAAAGAAAAGAATTTAAATAAATTCTCTCACTAAGAACTCCAGGATGGCCTTGAGCACAACTAGAAGAATTTAGCCTATGCACTAAAGATTTAGAGGAATTGAGAATAACCACCAACATAGAGGAACTAACACAATGGAGCCATATAATCTTTAAGCAATTCTAGAATATATGTACATCTACCTGCCATTATTGAGCCAATAGAGGAACTAATAACTTGTGAATGACCCTTATTCAATTACAGGGAAAAGGTTTGTGAATGACAATCTGATATAATTAATTTATATAAAAAAATCAAATATAATTAAAATAGCAAATAGAATAAAAAAATCTACCTCAATATCTTACCATATTGTGACCAGAAGTAACTGGATGAATTTCCTGCAAGAGACTGTCTTTAATTTTAAAAGCATTTGGTTTAGTGTTCAGTTTTAGAGTAAAACCACAACAAAATTTTAGAATCCAAAACTTGTATACAAAAAAATAAAAAATAAAAAAATAAAAAAAATAGAAGCCAAGTATGAAGGAGAAGATTAAGATTAGGTATAGGAAAATACACCACCAACCTTGGCCAACTATTATGTTTGCTCTATAATCCCTCTTTAAAATCAGTAACTCTCCTTGGTAGCTTCCTTTGATATTCTAAAGCAAGAGTTCAAAACTCAAATCTAAAGGTATGTGATAAAACAAAGTAGACAAACACATTTGAGCAAAAGAAAGTACTATTTAAGTACTATATATATTTTCTGTTAGGCTTATTGTTTGCAGGGTAATTCTTTTAGTGAATAAACATAATGCCCGAGTCAAGTTTCCTCATTGAATCTTAAGAGGACATTTTTTTTTTCCATTTATAGTCGTATGAGTTGGCAAAAGCCAGGAGTACTTTGGCAAGAGTGGTCCTGAATCACAAACTCACCTAACCTTGTACTTACCCACCTTGCTAGTATGTGTCCACACATGCAAGCTAGAATAACTATAGAACTCTTGAACAAAAATACTGGGGCTGGTGTGCGTTTATGTCAAGGGGTACTACGACATTCTTATCTCTATCATCAACATGGAGACATGGGACAATGGAAAACTTAAAGCACCCATACAAATTTTAAAGTAAATATAAGCTTAGAAAAACCATCCATTTAAAAAGAAAGTTTTAAATTAAAATTAGCTCCCATGGAACACTTTCATATGGCAAGCCATGATGAACAACCTTCAATTGCGAGAGAGAGAGAGAAAACTATACCAAAGTGAATAAGATTATGACAAACATAGCAGCTAAGGAAAAATTATATGTTCACCGTTAAAAAGTAAACAGAAACAATAGTACCTATCAATTTGTTTTCTTCTTAAAAAGTAACTAGCACAACAATGTATGCGTTTTTTTCTCTAGAAAGATAGTTATTAAGTAACAAAATACATAAATAAAGCACGATTAGAATGTACCATACAACATTGATTGCTTGGAGATTTCGGGAAATCCAGAAGGCACATTTCAAAAAAAGGCCATATGCTTTCAACGTTCAATGCATACAAAATACTATTTTAAAATGGAATCCAAAAGGCTTTGACTAAAAATTAAAATAAAACATATCTACAAATTACACAAGAATGTTGAATTGGAGCACAAATTCCCATTAGTCCACATCCAAGATGCTCTATACCATCTTCAAATAATTGGACTATGTTATAAGTCAATTTTTACCTAGTTCTTTCAATAATCAAACAATAGCAACATGTTTTCTGTAAGAAAAAAGTACAAAATCTGCAATAGCACAAATGAATAGAACATGCAAGTGATGCAGACATATTTTCCAAAACCATAATTAAATTTTTTTTTCTTGCCATACCTATTGAAAGGTTTTAATTTGCAATTGCAATCACTACCAAACTTCCAAAGCATGGGTAAGTTCTGTCAATGGCCTATTGGCATAATTGATGAGTCATAGGTACCAACATTTCAATAAGAATAGTTGAAAACAAAAGAAATAACAAATGGCATACTACCACAAAAGTTGCTATTTAAAAGCAACTTTAACTTAGAAGTCAAGAGAGAAGGTCAAATAATGTTTCCCTGAAGAGTAGGTAACACAAAACCATTTACTAAGGGCTATTAGTCTTGGGTCCTCCAGGTACCACTCCTCATTTCCCCATTATGCTACCTAATT